GCGAGTGTCTAGCCGCTACATCATGGTGGCTGCCCGTGAAATTTAGCTGGGGGTAGAGAGGCTGACTCAGCCGGAAGTTTCTGTTTTTTTGTTGTTGTTGTTGTTGTTGTTGTCGTTGTTGTCGTTGTTGCTGTATCGGCTGTTAAATAGTAGTGACTATTTTCTGCGTCTTTACCAAATATTTTTTGTCTTAAGAATAATTTATAAATTGTCTACTTACACATTGGTTTTATGGAGCCTCCGTGGTGGAGCGGCTAGACGCTCGCATGCGGTTCCGAAGGCCGTGGGTTCAAATCGAGACGGTGCTGGACTTTTTTCACAAATGACCTTGGCTCCCAGGTCGACCCAACCTTAAATGGGTCGTGGGAAGCAAAGGCCGCCAGCATGATGCTGGCACCCACCGAGTGCCGATTGATCTATAAAATATGGGTCTAGCCCTATGTGCCCTGTACGCCCGAAGACGGGGGAAAAGGGTCCTTTACATTTGTTTTGTATATTGTATATTTAGTTAATGACGTTTAAATACTGCAGTACAATTTAAAACTGAAGTAAATAATTCCCCAGCTTATTGTTAGTAATGTGTAAACGATTAGCGATACTGTAGTTTATCTGACGGTTAAGGTTAGTTAGTTGCGTATCCTTTTACAGGACGTTGCAGAACCAACCTCAACAGCTCTTGCTGTTGTGTGGTTTTTCTAGGCAAATTTACGTTCAGTAGTTTGCCATTGCTCACTAGACGGTCGGCTTTCTTGATACCACTGTCGAAATCAACGAAAGATGCATGGCCCGCAGCTGGGATCGAACCCGGCATCCCGTGCATTACGAAGCGTTCGCATCGACTTAGCCACAGAGCCGACATCTGACGGTAGAGAAGCGTCAAATAAATGACTCTACTGGGGCGTCGTACATGGTGAACACAGGCCCGACTGTCATCCTGTTCTGTGCATTTGTCAGAAAAACCACATTTCTCCTGTCCTTATATTGTCAGCTTGTCCGCTCAGTGACCTGGTTTGACATACCTACAATAGTACACATACATAAATCCAGTGAACTGTGACTAAAAAGCTTAACGAAATGGGCAAATAGAACAACGTACACAAAACACAAATTGACGTTTCGGCCGGGCCTTTATCAGTATGAATTAATTACTAGTAACTACAACAGTGCAGCATTACTCTGTAACAGTTATTATGTAAATAGTAATACAGCTGACCCACATTTTGGTGTTTTTAAGTTGTTTATGGACATTTTTGTGACGCCGACGTCATCCATGTTACGTCTGTGTTGATTTCAGCATATGAAGTAGGAGATAAATAACCAACCGTTAGTCATAGTACGTACGCAGGTCTGTCTGTCTGTTTGATTGAGTGTGTGTTGTAGACGATAGCTAGTACTGAACTAATCAGCTTACATGTCAGATCGTTTGCACGCCACCCCACATACACAGGGTCTGTGGTCGGTGCCTTCTCGCTCGCGGATTTAATGTGAACTTATTATATAGACTATACGATCGGACATGTTGGTTTTTTTTTAAAATGTTCTGATATATAGCCTAGCTCGTTGCGAACGCGCTTCTTAATGCCGAGGTGCCGGGTTTGATCCCTGCTGCCGACGGTTTGTCTTGCGCTAGTTTCGAAAGTGATACCGAGAGCCGACCTTCCAGGAAGCAGTGGCAAATAGTTAGTTGCGTATCTTTTACAGGGCGTTGCAGAACCAACCCCAACAGCCCCTGGCTGTTGTGTGGTTTCTCTAGGCAAGTTACATTCAGTAGTTTTCCTATGTCTTACTGAACGGTCGGCTTTCTTGATACCAATGTCGAAACCAAGGCAAGGCACATTGTCCGCATCGGGGATCGAACATGGCATCCCGACATTACGAAGCGAAGCGTTCGCATCGACTTAGCCACAGAGCCGACTTCTGGATGTAAATTTGCCTCGAAAAACCACAACAGCCAGAACGTGCCGGTGTTTGTTCTGCAACGTCCTGTAAAGGACACGCAACTAATTTAATTGTAAAATAACCTAGCTAATACGGAAGTCGTTTTTTTTTTAAACAGTCAAGAGAATGGTTACATGACAGGATTACATAACATTCGTCTGAGAAAGCACGCCCTGATAGCCTACAGGGGCTTCCTGAACTGTTATTTGACATTCCACTAGCTCACTTCTGTACAGCAGCTTACAAACGTTCAGTCATAGAATATTCATACGGTCTCATGTGCCCCCCCCCCCCCCCCCGGGCCGTGTTTATTTGTGTAAACTCCGTACAAGAGAACTCTTCTGGAATTATTTGTTTATACTCAGCTTTACTCTTTACACACGGTTCTCTTGCTCGTCCCAATTGTCACTTTGGCTGGACCTCTACTGCTGTTAGTCTCTGCCCTGCCCTTTCTTATCATCATCAGGTGCCGTGCTGATATGCGTAGGCTGTCGTGTTGATATGCGTAGGCTGTCATGTTTCGCTATCTCACACGATCATTAGAATCACGGATTAAGTCAATGTTGTTGTCTCGCCCCATCCGTCTGGCCAGGCTATCCAGATATTTATCTCTTTGCCTTTCACTTGGTCTCTTTCCATTAGTGTTGCCACTTGTTGTCAAGTTCTGGAGATCATTCCTTCTGATGACATGTCCCAGAAAACGTTGCACTGTCTACGTCTAATTGTTCTTATCAGTGTACTGCTGTCATCTGTCTCTATGAAGACTACTTCTTGTATCCCTCCATGATAGACTTTGCATTGCTCACAGAAAACACCATCTCTGCCAGAGTTAATGTTTTTTTAAGCTTGCCAGCTTATCGCCCAGGCTTCACATACAAAAGCCTTCAGCACTCTTTTTGTCTTCTCACTACAGTCGGCATCTTCTTGTTGGTGAGAATCTTTGGCAGCTTGCTAAAAGCCACTTTTGCCATGGCGATTCTTGTTCTGATTTCTGCTAGGCATCTTCCATCAGTTACTGTGATTGTCCGAGACAGTTGTACTTTGTTGACCTGCTACAGAATGTTACCATTTGCCGGTTTTGCTTGATGTTATACAGTAAAATATATGATTCATTTTCTATGCTAATGACACTGCTGGCATATGCTGTTAGAATTGTATTTTTTTCATAAACCGCACGGTGACTGATGTGTTCGACATAATACCGGTCGTCTTTACTTCCCAGGACATTGCCTGGTACCTGGACGTTTTAGGCTGGGTCGAGCGGGGCTATCAATTTTGAAAAGGAGGAGGGGGGGGAGGGGAGGTTCCTACAGGATGCAAAATGGAACTCTAGATTTCCCATGTGAATACTCACGGCCTGTGAAGAAGCATGTTGTAAAAGGCGGCTGATTAGTGGTGTTTTCTTCGAACGGGATGCCTCTACATGAGAGACAGGGAAACAATAGTTTGCACTCGAGTACGCTAGATTTATAAAACGTATGTGCACGCAGAACTTGTGTTCTGAACAAAACCCAAACCCAGAAAGTTTACAGCTGGTGAACGCTTAAAAGAAGACAGGAACCGAGACGTTGGTACCAGCAAGCCAGAGTACCTCATGTTATAATCGCCTCCAAATGTTCAAATGTATTGACCTAATTAAGGCACACCTGCCTGTGTATTATCACATTGTGGTGTTTGTATTCCTGTGATGAAAAGACTGTGTCTGTTTGCTTGATATCCAAAATGAGTGTTTGTTTGAGATCACTAACATTTTGTTGTACATTGACAGCTACAGGACAGGCTGAACTTGTTGAGTGTGTGCAGCTGGTGAATGTGTCCTTCTTGCTGGTGCAGTGTATCCTGTCCGACTGTTTCACAGCAGGGAATCAGCTTGCTGAAGGTGTGTGTTCGGAGTCTTTCTTTCTGTCTTTCTTTCTTTCTGTCTGTCTTTCTTTCTTTCTTTCTTTCTTTCTTTCTTTCTTTCTTTCTTTCTTTCTTTCTTTCTTTCTTTCTTTCTTTCTTTCTTTCTTTCTTTCTTTCTTTCTTTCTTTCTTTCTTTCTTTCTTTCTTTCTTTCTTTCTTTCTTCTGTCTTTTCTGTCTGTTTCTGTCTGTCTTTTCTGTCTGTCTTTCTTCTGTCTTTCTTTCTTTCTGTCTGTCTGTCTGTCTGTCTGTCTGTCTGTCTGTCTGTCTTCTGTCTGTCTGTCTGTATGTCTGTCCTTTGTCTTTCTTTCTTCTTTCTTTTCTATTTCTTCTGTCTTTCTGTCTGTCTGTTCTTCTGTCTGTCGTCTGTCTTTGATTATTTTGTTCACACAGAAGTCAGTCAGTAACCATCCAGTGCCAGGCAACATCAACTATTTCCACTGTCTGTGGCTGGAAGAAAACTTTTCTTTTCTATTTCTTTTCCTGAGGGACTTCTTTAACCTGGAATGTCTGTTGTTCATGCTGAAAGAAACAAGGTCAGCCACACTAACCTGGAATGTCCAGAGTCCAGCCCCAAAAAAGTGCCAGGATGTATTCTGATGACTGAGATGTTATTGATGACATTTCCTGTCATCTGTCAGTTTGTCAGCAAACAAGGAGTTGATAATAAACTGCAATTAAAAAAAAGAGGGGGAGGGGGGTGGTCCCTGAATGTTTTCTACTTGTAAATTGATGTTGCTTAGGTGTATTCCCTGTGTGGGTTCTGGGACCCCATTGTGGGTTCTGGGACCCCATTGTGGGTTCTGGGGCTACTGTGTGGGTTCTGGGACCCGACTGTGGGTTCTGGAACCCGACTGTGGGTTCTGGAAATTGTAAGAATAGACCCACTGCCTGCCCAACAAGGGTGTCGTAGAAGTAGACTAATTGGGTGTTTCCTACGAAGTCAGAGTACATCTACCTAGGACTTTCCAGTGGAGCTTACAGGCAGTGAACAAAGAAGAAGAACCTTAGTTGTAAATGTTATCTTCATGACTTCACTTCTGTGTGCTGCCAGTGATTCAGGTGTATATTGTTGTTTATTCTCAGCTGTGTGGTAGCAGGTACCTCACTGACCCTGTCTTCTATCAGTGTAGACACTAATGTGGAGACAGCTTCATCAGAAATGGAATCAGAGAAAGAAAATATGCAGTCTTTGCTGGAGAGGTTCTCCACCACAGTTGACTCCTCCAATGTTAATCGGAGTTTCCTAGAGAAACTGCCCAGCACTCCAGTCTACAGCAGCAGCAGCAGCAGCAAAGTTGGCAGTCCCACAGATAGTAGCTGCAGCAACAACACCACTGCTCATGTCAACAACACATCTTACTGTGTCATTGAGTAAGTAGAACGGTACTCACTGTCAACATACTTGTGTTATTATTCTCATTGGAACACATAAGGATCTTTAAATAGATATTTAAACATGAGAAGATCAACATTATTGGCCAGGTTTTAGCACCTAATGCTCAGTCTCACTTTGCCGAGTGGCTGTTCATCCACTGGAAGCATAAGACGAGCACAGAACTGTGTAGCTTCAGCGACTGACCTCTATGGATCTCAAGATGCCAGCTCCCTCTAACCAAAGATTTAATTAACCAAAGTATAATTCAAGGTTTCAGCTTCATTCCAAATGAGTTTCCTCATAGCTGCTCCTCCATTCCTGCGCCAGTGGATATCACTTGAAATGTCCTCCACTTTCTCCTTCAAAAACTAGTCAGCATTAATCCTGGCAAAACCCAGAAACATTCATTTGCATTAAATGCATAAGGCTGCTGTTAGAGATGCCAACACCAACCGTCACCACTAGAATTGCAATTTTTTTTTAAAATGAAACTATAGTTAACATAGAAGTCCGCTGCAGTAAAAGCCTAACATTCATAAGAAGCAGAGTACTCATTTGTTGAGATAATTGAAATCACAGGTCTGTGGGCTGCCTACTGCTGGTTTCTAAAGATGTAGTCCATGAGGAATGAGAGACCCACTATACCAAGTGAGGTTAAACAGTCATGAGCAGGACATGATGATTCCTTGGGTGAGCCCAGTATCAGAGCACCATGTATTGGTTCAGCATTCCTGAAAGCCTCCTAATTTGGCAGGAAATGCTCCTGTTCTGGCCCGGTCTTTTCTTGAGGGCTGACCAGCGTTACATGGCTTCTCTGGACTGGCCTGACCGGGCGCATTACATTTGAACTAATAATCAGTGATGACCACACAGCAATGAAACTGCAGTGTCCCACAAAACTCACTGGGAAGGTTAACCAGGATAACTAATGCCTGCAGGAGTCAGCATGTATCAGCTGAAAGGGGCAGATATTACAACCATGTTGTAAAATGGCAGAATGCATTTACGTCTTCGGTTGAAATCAACAGAAAAATAACAATCATTGTATGTTTGTGATGCTGCCATGATAGCAACAATTCAGAAGAAACAACAGAAATTGGTACATACACTGATTGTAGAACATGTCTAAATGCATGTCAGTCTGGTTAAATCAAGGACAGAAATAACAGAAATATGACTAGAATATCTCCTGCCTAAATGTACGGTTGGGATCTGTTGTAGTGTAGCGGCTGGGCGCTCACCTGCAGATCTGAGGGTCGTGGGTTCCGGTCCAGATGGAGATGGACGTTTCTTAAAAAATGATCTTGTCTTCCAGGTCATCCCAGCCTTAAATAGGTACCAGGTGAATTGCTGAGATGTAACGTTGGCCGGAGTGTTGTTGACCACATCCTCCAGCACATGCTGACCGTCTATCAATGCTAGCTCTAGCCCTATATGCCCAGTACACCCCAGTACACCGCAGTACACCCCCAGTACACCCCAGTACACCGCAGTACACCCCAGTACACCCCAGTACACCCCCAGTACACCGCAGTACACCGCAGTACACCCCAGTACACCGCAGTACACCGCAGTACACCCCAGTACACCCCAGTACACCCCAGTGCACCCCAGTGTACCCCAGTACACCCCAGTACACCCCAGTACACCAGAGTACACCCCAGTGCACCCCAGTGCACCCCAGTACACCCCAGTACACCTGAAGGCAGGGACAAGGGTCCATCTAGAAAACAGGAGTTCAGCATGTAGGCATTATACACTGTCAGGTGCAAGATGTATTACGGAGATAAGGAAAACAATCAGATTAGCATAAACTATATTGTATAACATAAAGAACACATTTTGTAACAGATACCTGTCACTGGAGGTTAGAAACACTTTCTGCTGACCACATCACTCCGTGAAGTCACAGTGGTTCAGTAGCTAGCACACTCGCTCAGTTGTCATGTGTTCAGATTCTCATTGAGGATAATTTTATGAAAAAGCATAACCTGGGTGCTTATATTGACTGAGTCCTAAATAAGTTATAGAAAGTATTAGGGGGAAATAAAAGCAGCTGGCGTTATGTTCAGCGCATCTTGCATTGAGTGCTGGATGCTTTATAAAAGGATGGACTAGCATATACTCAAAACCTTGTGGTATGAAAAAGGGTTGTTGAACTACTCGGCAAGCGTTAGCAAAATGTTTGTGGGGCGTAGGACAGTTAGTAGATAAGAGAAAGTCCCTTAAGGTCTGACTGATGTGGTTAAACAGAAGAATGCGGAAAGAACATTCAACAGTCATCTGGATTTGTTTAAAGAGAATTAAGTCACAAAATGTGTTTAGCACAAATATCAGAAAGTGGTAGTTGTCATTGTGTGGATCTGTGTGCGTGTTTGGTCACATTTTGAGGAGAGAAAAATTGGAACACGTGACAGATTGACAAAAAATTGTGCAGGTTATGTTGCTAGGAGTTATATGTTGAGATGGGATTCTGAGCACCTTTAGATGTATCCAGATTGCTGTGAAAATAATCCAGCTCATAACTCAACTTGTAGTTGTTGCAATCTCCTGTTACTAGCAGTTATTGCAGTCTTGTGTTACTAGCAGTTACTTGTATTTCTGGTAGTTACTGCAGTAATGTATTTCCAGCAGTTACTGTAGCGTTGTGTTACTCATTGTCACTGCAGTGTTACTGTAGCGTTGTGTTACTCATTGTCACTACACAGTGTGTTACTATAGATTAACTTTATTGTGTTACTATAGATTAACTTTATTGTGTTACTATAGATTAACTTTATTGTGTTACTATAGATTAACTTTATTGTGTTACTAGCGTGTCTTTACAAACATTAAGTTATATCAGGCATTTCTTATTGCCAGCGGAACACTCCTGGGGAGCAATGTCAGCTGTGCAACTTTAGTGCCACTTTGATTAACTTTATTGTGTTACTATAGATTAACTGAATTGTGTCTCCCGACTCAGACGCAGGCACTGACCTGCTCAGTGTATGCCGAATATGTCAGCTTCCCGGTGATGGCGATGACATCCTGTTCTCTCCGTGCCGATGCTCTGGCAGCCTCAAGTCTGTGCACTACAACTGTTTGGTGGTATGGTGTTTACTAACATTGCTTTGATCTTTTGTGTTATTCTAGAAAATTATTTGTTGGTATTTTTTTGGCTAAACTTTATCATTTCTCTTGTATATTATTCTTTAGAACTGTTTGTTTGTATGGCTTTTGCTAAAATTTGCTGTTTCTATACAACTTTGTTTTTATGCTTTTTGGTAAACTTTATAATTTCTCTTCTGTGTTACTCTATAGAACTGTTGTTATGGATTTTGCTAAACTGTATCATTGCTGTTCAGTGTTATACTAGAGAATTGTGAGTTGTGAATTTTGTATTCACTTGATTAAGCTTCTATATTAGAATTGGTGCAGGTGTCATTTGTAATGACCCACTCATTAACCAGGTGCAGATGTCATTTGTAATGACCCACTCATTAACCAGGTGCAGATGTCATTTGTAATGACCCTCTCATTAACCAGGTGCAGATGTCATTTGTAATGACCAATCTCATTAACTGTGCAACCATGTCCATTGTTATGACCCTCTCATTAACCGGTGCAGATGAATTTGCAATGACCCGACTCATTACCAGGTGCAGACCTGCTCATTTGTAATGACCCTCTCATTAACCGGTGCAGATGTCATTTGTAATGACCCACTCTTAACTCAGTGCAGATGTCCGGTAATGACCCACTCTGTGCACTACAACTGTTGGTGCAGATGCATTTGTAATGAACATTGCATTGACCTGGTGCAGATGTCATTTGTAATGACCCACTCATTAACCAGGTGCAGATGTCATTTGTAATGACCCACTCATTAACCAGGTGCAGATGTCATTTGTAATGACCCACTCATTAACCAGGTGCAGATGTCATTTGTAATGACCCACTCTATTAAACAGGTTTTTTTGTCAACTTGTAATGACCCACTCATTAAGGGGTCACTACAGGCATCTTTGTTATGGATTTTGACAAAAATATCACTTTTTTAATGTGTTCGTTTTTGTAAAGTTCGGCATTTGTAGAATAGATGACACACATTTGATTATGTCATTTGTAAACAATTTTGCATTGAAAAGGTAATACTAAACGACCCACATTCTAAAGTGGGGTTTTTAAGAAGAAAAAAAGGTTTGTGGTTTGAAGTCAGTTTTCTCAAATCTCTATATTTCAGTTTCTGTGTGTGTGAAATCCTAAAATCTAAGCTAATATAAAGAGTAGAAACATGAAATTTTAGTATGCATACTTCGTAAACAATATTTCATAGGGACTGGTCTATCTAAAAGTAGATTTTAGAAAGGCGATTTGTTTTTAAAATTTGATTACTGTCTTATGATGGCAGATTTTTTTTTTGACTTTTTCATGCCATGCAACAAGACCAAGCTACTTTTAAAATTCTACGAAAAATATTTAAAAACATGTTTAAAGTAAATAAACAAGACCTGTACCTCTAAATTGGATATCACGTTATGAATCCATCATCTATTATTGAATATCTATGTTTGTTTTTTAAATTTTAGGATTCTAAGTGAATATTGTTTTTTTTTTCACAAGATGGCGGGTATTGCCATGTCAACTATGATTTTTTAACACTTAAAGTATAAAAATGTAATAACATGTATCCCTACAAATGACCATTATAAAATAACTGCTCTAACTCTGTAAATAAAAAAATAAAAAATTTTTGTGTATTGACCCCTTAACCAAAGGGAATTGGGGTGTAGAAGACAGTCAGGTCTTGTGGGTTGATGTGAGGGAGATTTGATGTGTGTCACAGTTTCGTTTCCACATTACTGAGCGTGATTGGCATATGGTGGTTGCCCCACATATTGATAGACCAGTTGGTTATTGGTGCATTCATCATCATCAGGTGCTTTGCCGAATGGCGTGGGCGATCATGCCTCTCCATAATCTGCGATCTCCTGCAGCATGTATCAGTTCGTGTGCCGACACACCTCCATGCCATGCAACAAGACTGTCAAGCATCTTCTCTCGTTGTCTTCCTCTATCTCTCCTTCCACAGATCTTTCGAGTGGTCACCACATGTTCTATTTTCCCCTCTTCTCATAATATGGCCGAATTGGTCCATTATCTGCTCAGTATCACATTAGCTATGTTTACGTCTCGGGACATTTCATGAAACCCAGATTAAGCTGGCTCAGCCTGGGAGTACAGGTCAGTTAATCCAACCTTCTAGAAGGGAATGGGGAAGGGGGAGAGAGAGGGTGGTTGGAGGTGGGAGTTTACTTATTGCCAATCTAACAGCATGTCATAAATGCTGACTAATCAAGGGTTTGTGCAAATCAAATTCAGAGCACAGACATTGCAGCCTAGCTGTACACCACAACACAATGCATTGACCATCCCCACGATGTGTCGAAATGTCACAAGAAGTCGCACAACTATATCCACGATGTGCCGAACTTTCCACAAGACTGCCAAGCAACTAGGTTAGTTATTCCCAGTAATTGTATGAATACACGTTGATGTTCCTTCCCTAAACTTCTCCAACGTTTTCCATGTTGTCGCTTACCATCTCCATGTTGTCCCTAACCACCTCCATGTTGTCGCTAACCATCTCTCATGTTTTCCCTAACCATCTCCATGTTATCGCTAACCATCTCAGTTTTGTCCCTAACCATCTCCATGTTGTCCCTAACCACCTCCATGTTGTTGCCCTAACCATCTCCATTTTGTCCCTAACCATCTCCATGTTGTCCCTAACCACCTCCTTGTTGTCCCTAACCATCTCCATAATGTCCCTAACTGCCTCCATCTTGTCCCTAACCATCTCCATGTTGTCATCTGCAGAAGTGGATCGACATCTCCACAAGAAAGACAAAGAAGATTCCCAGATGTGAACTGTGTCAGTTCTTTTATGTGCGTCATAAACGATTTAAGGTGAGCAGCCTAGAGCGTGTCTTCTATTGTTCATTGAGGTTACAGATTTCTGAGATTGTTTCCATCACATTTCCCCATTATATAGTGGCTTCAAATACCAGTTCCCTATAGATTTGCAAAACTTTTTTGGCACTCTAAGTAGTGATCTTGTTTTTTCCTCTCCCCTTTTCTCTTGCTGCTCTTGAAGTTTGGTCAAGATTGCAGGCTCATAATTATTTCATACTCAGTTCTCTAACAGTCAATTCCCTTGCCTGTATATTTTCTGGCCCACATTTAGTATATGAATCCCTGTGAAAACAGACTTGTTTCGTGCAGAGTGGCAAGCATCATTTCAGAGGTCCTGGGTATCCTTTGGATATTTTCTCCAGGTATGCCTGTGTGTTGGGAAATGAGGGGGCAGATAGACCGGCTGGCCCTGCACCACTTGGTGATGAACTGATGTATGACAAGCTAGATGTTGTGAGGGCCCTTTGGGAGCGAGTGAACAGTGAGGAGGCACAGACAGATCATTACAGTCTAAGGAGAATGGCGCTGCAAGGAGTTCCCGGGGATATGGTCGACGCTCAACGCTCAGGGAAAGGATGAGACAGATATACAATTAGACGGTTACTGGTACCACCAGAATTCTTGCTGCTGAAGATAGGGACTGAGCACTTATGGGAGTGTCCCAAGTGCTGTGATGTCGATTCTTAATTCAACATTGAATCCCAGTAGTTCTTAATATTGTGCAAATAAATGCAACATAGACAGACCAAATATGAAATAATGTTTCCATCTGCAGTGTAAAACTGACAGACCCATTTCTGTGACAAGACATTTCAGGTATGTGTTGTGTGACAAGACATTTCAGGTACAAGATTTTCAAGGTATGTTGTGTGACCATTTCAGGTAATGTTTAACAAGACATTTCAGGTATATGTTGCTGACAGATTTCAGGGACTGTGACAAGACATTTCAGGTATATGTTGTGTGACGAGATATTTTAGGTATGTGTTGTCAAGACATTTCTTAATGTTGTGTGACAAGACATTCAGGTATGTGTTTTGTGACAAGACATTTCAGTAGTTGTGTGACAAGACATTTCAGGTATGTGTTGTGTGACAAGACATGCAGGTATGTGTTGTGTGACAAGACATGAAGGTATATGTTGTGACAATCATTTTCATGTGTAAACTGACAGACCCATTTTCAGGTATGTGTGTGACAAGACATTTCAGGTATATGTTGTGTGACAAGACATTTCAGGTATATGTTGTGTGACAAGACATTTCAGGTATGTGTTGTGTGACAAGACATTTCAGGTATGTGTTGTGTGACAAGACATTTCAGGTATTTTTTGTGACAAGTCTTAGTTGTGTGTGACAAGACATTTCATGTATGTGTTCGGTGACAAGACATTTCAGGTATATGTTGTGTGACAAGACATTTCAGGTATGTGTTGTGTGACAAGACATTTCAGGTATATGTAGTCTGACAAGACATTTCAGGTATGTGTTATGTGACAAGACATTTCAGGTATATGTTGTGTGACAAGACATTTCAGTGTGACAGGACATTTCAGGTATGTGTTGTGTGACAAGACATTTCAGGTATGTTTGTGTGACAAGACATTTCAGTATGTGTTGTGACAAGACATTTCGTGTTGTGTGACAAGACATTTCAGGTATGTGTTGTGTGACAAGACATTTCAGGTATATGTAGTCTGACAAGACATTTCAGGTATGTGTTCTGTGACAAGACATTTCAGGTATGTGTTGTGTGACAAGACATTTCAGGTATATGTTGTGTGACAAGACATTTTAGGAATGTGTTGTGTGACAAGACATTTCAGGTATGTGTTGTGTGACAAGACATTTCAGGTATGTGTTGTGTGACAAGACATTTCAGGTATGTGTTGTGTGACAAGACATTTCAGGTATATGTTGTGTGACAAGACATTTCAGGTATATGTTATGTGACAAGACATTTTAGGTATATGTTGTGTGACAAGACATTTCAGGTGTATGTTATGGGACAAGACATTTCAGGTGTATGTTGTGTGACAAGACGTTTAAGGTTTATGTTGTGTGACAAGATGTTTTAGGTATATGTTTGTGAACCCTATATTTATTTAGACTAATCCACACTTGTTTTATAACTCAGTGTCTTATTAGGAGTCTGTAACTTAGTTTCCAATTACAGTTTTATAAATAAAGTGATTTTATTTGTATTTTTCCAGTTTCATAACTGGCGTATGCCACACGTGTCCAGGCGAGATAAGTGTCTTCACATCATCTTCCTGATCACTCTAGTCGTCATGGTGATCTGTGCGGTGGCAACTGTCATGTGTTTCCTGTCTGACAACGGACAAATCTCACAGGGCAAGACGTACCTGAGCACAGAGGAAGTAATAACTTTGACTTGTGGGGTCATGTTCTTCGTCTCCTTCTTCCTAGCGATGACTGTGGAAATCAAGGCTCGTCACACAATATATAGACTGTTTGTCAAGTTTATATGTCATAACACAGAGTGGCAGATCGAAGCTTATGATAAGAACAGAGATGCAGACTGTCCTAAACCATATATATACAATACTTGAGTGTCAGACGGAGCATGGAGAGAATGTGGTTAATTCTCAACTCATTTGGCAGTCTCTTCTGGTGATGCTTGTTCTAGGAACACACTTGTTTGTAAATACCTCAGATTCATACGCTCTTTGTATATATATCAGATTAATACGCTGATTGTAAATATGTCAGAATTATACGCTCAGTGTAAATATGTCAGATTCATATGCTGATTGTAAATATGTCAGATTTATACACTCATTGTAAATGTCAGATTCATGCGCTTATACGTACATTGCTGGAACCACGCTTAAAATCAACTCAAGCATCCTTAAATGCACCTTACATTTGCGAGGGAAGTGGAGCATATGCAAACATGCTTGGAGTGATGTGCTGTCACATTAAAAAATATGACAACCTAGAAACTAAAAAAAGCTATTAGCAAACACATGAAAATGGCCACTATTGACACATGTACATGATTCTGTGTATACAGGAGAGAGAGACAGAGAGAGGGGGAGAGAGAGAGATTAGCATCAATATGGTTTAATATTTTTCTGTGACACAGGAGAGACGGGGAGAGAGAGACAAAGAGTGATTAGCATTAATATGGTTGAGTTTTTCTCTGTGACACTGAGGAGGGGGTGAGAGAGAGGGAGAGAGAGAGAAAGAGTGATTAGCATTAATATAGTTGAATTTTTCTCTGTGACACTGAGGGGGTGAGAGAGAGCGAGCGAGCGAGAGAGACAAAGAGTGATTAGCATTAATATTGTTGAATTTTTCTCTGTGACACTGAGGGGGTGAGAGAGAGAGAGAGAGAGGAGAGAGAGAGAGAGAGAAAAAGAGGGATTAGCATTGATATGGTTGAATTTTTCTATGTGACACTGAGGAGGGGGTGTGAGAGAGAGAGAGAGAGAGAGAGAGAGAGAGAGAGATAGAGAGAGAGAGAGAGAGAGAAAAGGAGAGAGAGATTGTGATTAACATTGACATTAGTTAATTTTTCTACTCAAGACAGAACCAGTTGTTAAAAAACAACCTGTCAGATAAACCTCTTTCTTCATTTATTCCTGTTTAAACAATCTGTCAGCAGTAATTTCCTTCCTTCATATATTCATGTTTAAAAAATCTGTCAGCAGTCATTTCCTTCCTTCCTTCATTTATGTTTAAACAGCCTGTCAGCAGTAATTTCCTTCCTTCATTTATTCATGTTTAAACAATCTGTCAGTAGTAATATTCTTCCTTCATTTATTCATTTAAACAGCCAGTCAGCAGTAATTTCCTTCCTTCCTTTATTTATTCAGTTTAAACAGCCAGTCAGCAGTAATTTCCTTCCTTCCTTCCTTCATTTATTCAGTTTAAACAGCCAGTCAGCAGTAATTTCCTTCCTTCCTTCATTTATGTTTAAACAGCCTGTCATCAATTTCCTTTATTCATATATCTCCATATTGGAAAGTGACAGTGGAATGTGATTTTCTGTAGCATGTTCATGGAGTCTGAAATGATGACTGCCTGTGTGGCTGCCTGTTCTGTTGCCACTGCTGGTGCTCTGGTACCTCCATGTCCATGCTTGATGTATTTGTCTGGCAAATGCGACTGTCATCTTTTATTGTTTTTCCTGTCCTTTATGACGTGTATGCCCACGCTGACTTGACCCACACGCACTTCACAACCCCATCTGTCCATCTGTGTAAGTGATGATGACTTCTGAGCATGAATGGTGATCTGTCAGTACCACTATCTCAGTGTCACCGAAGGCAGGGATCTGAGGCTCTTACAGTAGCTCCACAGTGTGGTGACAACCTTAGACAGGTCATGCCTTTATACTGGTGTATTTGTCCATTCTTTTCTGTGACTGATCTTGCAGGATTAAATTCTTAGCCTCAGTCATCCAGGAGGAGGCTCATTTGAGACACATTCTTTTTTTTTTTTTTTTAAAGGAAATTATTTATAGTTTTTGAAATGGGTGGTTAATATCTGCTGACACCCTCATGTATGTCTTGACCTGTGCCACTTTCTATCTGATAGCCATTGTTGATAAACCCAGGACATGACACATAGTGTGATGTGAGGTCACCCAGGACATGACACATGGCGTGATGTGAGGTTACCCAGGACATGACACATGGCGTGATGTGAGGTTACCCAGGACATGACACATGGCGTGATGTGAGGTTAGCCAGGGCATGACACATGGTGTGATGTGAGGTCACCCAGGACATGACACATGGTGTGATGTAAGATCACCCAGGACATGACACATGGTGTGATGTGAGGTCACCCAGGACATGACACATAGTGTGATGTTAGGTCACCCAGGACATGACACGTGGTGTGATGTGAGGTCACCCAGGACATGACACATGGTGTGATGTGAGGTCACCCAGGACATGACACATGTTGTGATGTGAGGTTACCCAGGACATGACACATGGTGTGATGTGAGGTTAGCCAGGACATGACACATGGTGTGATGTGAGGTCACCCAGGACATGACACATGGTGTGATGTGAGGTCACCCAGGACATGACACATGGTGTGATGTGAGGTCACCCAGGACATGACACATGGTGTAATGTGAGGTCACCCAGGACATGACACATGGTGTGATGTGAGGTCACCCAGGACATGACACATGGTGTGATGTGAGGTCACCCAGGACATGACACATGGTGTGATGTGAGGTCACCCAGGACATGACACATGGTGTGATGTGAGGTTAGCCAGGACATGACACATGGTGTGATGTGAGGTCACCCAGGACATGACACATGGTGTGATGTGAGGTCACCCATGTG